ACATTACAGACAGTACACCCTGACGGTTCATCGCAATGTTGAAGTAATAGAAATTCCACATTCCAGGGTGCGTGCGGCGACTGACGTGGCATAAGGTCATTCAAGCCGACGATGGACAAATCCTTCTACCAATCACCGAAGCCCTCCAGTTCAATCAAGAATTATACGCTTGAAATGAACTCTGATGCCTATGGTCGGACCATATTGCTGAACCTCGCCATCTACACGCTGCAAAAGACGACTTTCGTCTTCTGGCTCGTCCTCTTCTTCTTCCAGATGCTCTTCTTCTCGGCGCAGGCGTTTCCGGCTGGGCGGCGTCTCGAGGGCGCGTGCAGGTTGACGTACCACGTCGGCCGGACAGAGTTGGACTGCGGACAGAGGCCATCGCGCCGCCGGCGGCCTTGAGCGCAGAACGTTCATCTTACGATACTCATGATACTTATAGAGGCGAGACTATGTAGACATGCCAGCAGACGCTGCAGGCGGTAATTCATCACCACCCATTCCTTTTGACTTTTGTGCTTTGTCCGACCTCCGACTGTCTCTCGATAACGACTGGCCAGCGCTCTATCTTGCGTGGTCCATGTGGACCTGACGACGATGCTATGCCACTGCATGTGAGACCGACACTGCGTTTGCCCCTATCAATGGGTTTAGGAACGCATACAGAGGGAATTTTCATCTGGACAGCAATGTACAGGATGTGTAGCGAACGCAAGGAACTGGTTCTCTTCGTGTCGTTTGCGCACCATAATGCCTCTTTGTTTGCCGCATTTGCTGGAGCTCAAAATCCAAGTCATACCATGGTCAACAAGTAAGCATGACCAGGGTCATTAACACGAGAACAAGCGGCTACTGCAGCACCGAACAGATTACGAGACATTCAACAAAGGGTCGTTTCATCTGAGCTCTAGGCTATCATATCAGCAGGCCACACCCGCTCGCCTGTTGGTTGAGAGACTGGAATGGTTAGATGTCCGTTGAGGTACAGGCATCGGCTGTCATGATATGAGTGCGAAGTTTGAGATTCTCCTGCGAGCAAGACTCCCCGTCTCGGTCTGATGTGAAAGTGCTGTAGACCCCAACGTCCTTCGCTAGAAAAGAAGCCGTACTCATGGTAGCCCTCATCTGCAGCCCTCTTTGCGGACGAGACGTGCGAACCGTATGTAGATGCCCGAGACAAGTCCTCATGCACCCTCCATGCCGGTCATCCCGACATGTGCGACTCTGTCTTGAGCCTCAATGTCTTTGTCAACCGTGACCTATATCAGCACTGAAGCCTGGGCCATCAGTTCGCCGACTATTCATCCGCCATTCGCATCCCCATCACGCCCTCTCATTTCCGACTCCACATTCCCCGTGCTTCAACATGTTCTTCCACTGCCGTCGCAAGCAGCCCCGCCCTCCGTCTTCCCACGCACACCCTGCGCGCGGCTGGGCTGCAATCGCAAGGCGCTGAGGTGCGAATCCCACGAGCGGGGCATCACCTTCTACTCGTTCTACTGCAAGGACCGTACGTCTGGCCAGCGCCGTCAGCTTGATTTCTGCTAAACCATTCTCGAGACGCCTGCCGCCACCGCGCCGGCAACGTCATGTGCCCCAACCACAAGCAAGCCGGAGAGACTCGCTACTGCGAAGACCGCACGTCCAGACAGGCCAAGCCCCGTCAGCAGCGCCAGCAGCAGCAGCTGACCCATCATCACAGACACCCGCTGCCGGGCCCAGAACTGCAACCGTCCCCGTAAAGCAGGCGACAGGAACGAAACATGGGCATACTGTCTGAGACGTAGGCCTACCCTTCCCACGCTGAGATGTGTGCAGCCTTCCCTCCCTGACAAGGTGATTAAACCAAGAAAAAAAAAAAAGATACCTGCCTCCTCGACGGCTGCTACCTGAAGCGCGCGCCCGACTCGCAAATGTGCGCCCCGCACACCCCGCGCTGCCTGATCCCCGACTGCCCCGACCCGCGGTCGCGACGGGCCTGTTTT